TTAAAAAGCACTTAACAGAAGAGCCCTGGATGAAGAGCCATTGTAAGAAAGTCATGGGAATTCTGACTACCAACTCAGCAGCATACAAAGGCCTCCGAAACAACCCTATCCAAAGCTATCTTTTTTTTCCCCTAGTACTGGGGAGTGAACCCAAGACCTTCACACCCACTTACATCCCATCCTTTTTTTATTTTTTATTCTTGAGACAGGATCTCAGTGAATAGCTAAGTTCTCCAGGTTAGTCTCAAACTTGTTATCTTCTTGCCTCAGCTTCCCAGGCATGTGCCGCCACACCTGGCTCAAGGCCATCTTTAAAAAAAAATAGTGTCAAAACCAAAGAGAAAATAATTTCACTCTATACCTAGCTAGTCAGGCAGGTTATCAAGGCCACATTTAAAAAGGAAGAGAACTAAGAACATTCATAAACAGAGTACAGTGACAGAGAGCTAGATATGCACAGTAAATAAACACAAAAGAAAGTAAAAAACAGGCTCTGTGGTAAACAGGTCAAGATTCCAGGTATTAGAAGGTGGGAAATGAATGTTAGGCCTTGGAAACACAGCCTAGATAGGATAAGACCTATAGCTAGCCCTCTGCTCTAATTAACTTTAGCAGGCTTCCTGGAAGATGTGAGCCTCCAGAAATATATAGATTCTGGCAACCAAACATTTGGTTAGGGGAATCTTTCTCCTGGGCTTCCAGGAAAAAAAGCCAAATAGTTTAAGTGGTCATTTCCTCCTGTTAATCCTCTTCTCCTGTTCTGTTCCTTCATGATCTCTCACCACCCTCTCCACCATGCTGATCTGAGACAGAGGAACCAAGACCTAAAATAGGGAAATGAGAGGAAGGGGCATTTGGGGACTGTGATAGATGTGGAATCTGGGAGAGTCCTCAAGTCCCCAAGTCTTCGCTAGATAAACAGCCAAGCTCCCTGCTGCCTCTGGCTGACCTGTAACTTGGGTGAAGTTACTTCTGCTTTGGACTCACTTAACCTTTAATCTGGGGATTCCCAATCATGTTACTGACATTAATTCTTATATCCCACAGCAACGGTAGGTTGATGGGAAAAATAAACTGAAACACAAGCTCTTCCCAGCTATGGAGTCCCAAAGAATGCAAATAATATTTACTTAATGTTTATTCTTTCATAATTTATCTTCACTTTACTGAAGAGGAAAATAAGTCATAAAAGGTGTAAATAAGGCGATGTTACATATGCTTTTCAATCTCTGACTTCATCAAAATCAATAATGTTTTCAAGCATTTTTCTTCCTAGAACTCTTTATAAATTTAGAAACTGAGACGTGGCCATTGTATACATGAAAAAACTGAGATGTAAAGTGATCAAAATGTATCATCCCAAACTAAGGCTCATGAAATAGAGCCTAGGTGAGAAAACCAAAAGCCCTAGTTCTCAGGACAAAATGTTCCCATTGGATTCCTACCCAAGTTTGAAACACTGAATCCACTTAAATTCTGTGAAATAATGTGGCAACTGCTGTCAAGTTGGAGTTCTTGATACCAAGAACAATGCTGAGCCTGGGATGGCAGCACTAGTAATCATGATCCTTGACCTTTGCAGAGTTTCATGGTTTATAAGAGCTCTACAACTACTATTGCTGTCTTAAACAAGGCCATCAGTTGTATCTCTTTTGGATCCAACATATGGGAACTCGGGGGAAGTTTATTGGCTTGTCAGAGAACAGAGTTGCCAATAGGCAAAACGGTCTGAAACTCAGGTTTTCTAAACCCAAGTTCAATGAGAACACACTTTAGGGGCAAGAGACTACCTGCCTTTTCCTGAGAAACTTGGAGGAGGCTGAGAGGAGAAGTCATTCTTCTCAGAATCTTGGCAAATGACAGCAAAGAAGGAAATCGTCATCATGAGGCACTTCAAAAGGTGATACAGCTCTGGGCACTGTAGTGACTGTGGCTCTAACCCCTGACAGCCTGCAATCTAACACAAACACACCGGGAAGAACAAATATGTACATGACATACAGATGATAGAGTAAGAACAGTCAACTCCTACAAGAACAGACAGGAAAGCACTTATACCATACACATAGCCAGGTAGGTTTGGGTGTGGAGAACATTAGTGCATAAACAAAAGGGGAGCAATAAAGAAGCACAAGTCAGGGAAGAGGGAGACACACTAATCCAAGAAAGGTCTTTGGAGCAGGAGGGGATCAATTTCAGGAGTTGCTCCTCTTTTTTCTCCTCTCTTTTTAATTTAAGAAGTGGGGGGCTGGGGATTTAGCTCAGCGGCACAGCGCCTGCCTAGCAAGTGCAAGGTCGTGAGTTCAATTCCCGGTACGGGAAAAAAGCCAAAAAAAAAAAAGAAGTGCGGTAGCTGTACTGAGGTGAGAGCAGACTTGAGACTGTGCAATCTGGAAAAGAAACCTACCCTAGACCAGAGATGGCAAACCTTTAGAACTTTCAGTGATATGAACAGCTAGCTGCTGTGGCACGCATGCCATAGGTTCACCATCACTGCTCAGACACTGGGAACAACTATAAAGATGGGTGGGAAGGGACAAGAGGGTAGTGTCAACGGACAAAGAGGGCTTTGAGCAAGTGGAAATTTAAGGGTGGTTATAACCTGTCTTGACCCCTAGGCTGTGTCTAAGTGTTTCCACCCCCATGCTTTCAGAAGGCACATGCTTCCTGAATTTCAAAAGCACAAAGGATCTCCCAGCTGTGACAGCCTGTTTCCAGCACATGGAGAAGACAGTGGCCCATGGTGACAGAGAAAGTGGACAGGGATTTTAGGAAAAGCTGAGCAAGAAGTCCCTAGTCATGCTGAGCTTCCCTGGTTCTGCCATCATGAGAGAGGTTTCTGGCCCACAGCTCATTTACCCAGAAAAAAGGAAGGTTCCAGTTTACCAAACTCAAATTTACCTGTTGAGTTTCAGGCCAGTGATTAGATAGATTCTTAGCATAACAACTCCATTGACTTCTGCTGGGATATAAACATTTCCCAATATATCAATCAGACACCAGCTAAGTAGCGAGACCTGTTTATCTCTGTTAACTGTGTTTACTCTCAAGTCATCCTCTGTGGCCCTAATTAGAGCAGTAGCAGCAGAGAACCATGAGGAAACCAGGCTGAGTGAAAACATGCAGAAAGAGTCCTTATACTCTGGTTCCCCGCCCTCTGAGGACTACAGGGTCCTTGGAGCGCACAGCGCTGGCTCCAACCATGACCATTTAGGCCACAAGCCAAAAGATTAGCAATTTCAGACTTTCCCAGGGAGCTCTTCATTCCATTCCTGTGCATCCTGGTTCCTGAGTCGATACAGTTACTAAGATTTGTATGGGTGACATGAGGATTTGAGGATTCTATGATTCTCACGCTTATTTTTGCCAATATTTACTCATCTGCCACATCTAAAATGTGCCATTGTTTTTGGTTCTAAACTTCTACATGTTGTCAACACATTTAATATGAAATACCTACAGCATCTATGATACAGTGAGCTACCTACAGATACCTACAGGTGTCCATGTAAGTCGATTCCGCAGCTGTTTTGTTTAGACAGAGGAGGAACTGACACAGAAGTAACCAAGATAACAAAGCCAGTAATTGAAGAATGAGGACCTAAATATAACCTTCATTATTTATCTAAAGCCCAATTTTGGGGTCCATTCAACCAAACATCTGATATTTGTATTTAAGACATTTTTTTAGGTACGAAGATACAAGATATGTAGATGGTTTCCACACTTAAAGGGCTCATGGACTATGCATATATCAGTAATCCTCTCTATGGTAGTTCAAAGTTAGTTTATTCTCCTCCATAGTAAGATTTTCCAACTAGAAAAGTCCTTCTATCACCAATGCTATTCTCCCTTCTATTTTAAACACACAGAATAGACCAACTTACTAGTCACTGTATCAGCACCTACAGAACGGCTAGCAGCACGTCCAAGACTGGAAGCCAACTTTTCTAACAAGTAATGATGGTATTTGTTTTCTATTCGGCACACAGGATGGAAAGGTACTATTAGGAGCCGGGCGTGGTGGTGCATGCCTGTAATCACAGCACTTGGTAGGCTGAGACAGGAGGATCATTGCAAGTTTGAGCCCAGCCTGGGCTACAAAGTAAGCAAAGGCCAGCCTGAACTGCATCAAAACGACCAAAAAAAGAGAAAGGTACTATTAGGACACTGGTCAAAGTTTTGATCACAACTAATAGTCAATTTCCCTTCATTCGCACCTCTCCTCTCCACTTGCTCCAAGCTCTTTTTACTCCAATTTAACCTTTCCTGAGCCTCACCTTCTGGATTGAAAAGTGTACCTGGACACCACTTGGATGGATTTACAGGGGTAGGGGTAAGATTTTAAGATAAAATTGAACAGCTGGAGATTTTTTATTACTAAGCCTTAAAGGTAGAAAAAATAAGTTTTAGTCAAGATATTTTAAGTACTCAAGAAAGAGCAAAAGATAAAGGAACTGGGAGATGTGTTTGAATGACTTGGAAAGAAGTGCTAGACACTTGAATCGGGACAAATGAAGACTTAAATGCAGAGTGCTCCCGGGGAGCAGCGAGGCAATGCCTCCCTGGATGCCGGGTTTGCGCGGGGAGGGCCTGCCGAAGCCACGTGCAGCAGAGACGCCTCGGGCGCCTTTGCTCTGTGTGTGAAAGGCCCTGTCCCGGGGGCAGAGCGCCGCGTCCCAGGCTGCGGGTCTTCCTTCCCGCCGCGAGGGCCTCCTCAAGGCAGGCCGCAGAGCCCTTCCCCGAGAGCCTCGGCCCGCTCCCCCAGGGGCCGAGCCCTTCCCGCGGGCCTGCGAGGGCGCAGCCCGAGGGGAATGCCCCATCACGCCGAAACACCCCGCAGGCCCACACCGCCTCACACCACCCGGCGCGCTCCGGCAGCCCGGTCCCTCCTCCGTGCAGGGTGAGCCCGCGAGCGTGCGTGACGTGCCCGGCAGCGTGACGCATGCGCCGCCAGCGCCAGCGTGGGGTGCGGGGCGCGGGCGCGCGGCGGGCGGAGGCGCAGGGCGGAGTGCGGGCGGAAGTCGGTGTCTGCGGAGAAGAGAAAGGAAAGACAGCCGCGGTGAGGCTGGGATCCCGCTGGGGGCGCCGCCTCCTCCCCACCCTCGCTGGAGGATGGAAGTGACGACAGCTGCAGCGGAGGTCACTTCCTGCTGGGGTGGATGAGGAGGAGCCGGAGACGCCGCGGAGGAGACCCGACCGAACGCGGACCGAGCCGGGCAGCGGTGAGTGCCCGCCTCGCCCGGCCGCCGGGCCTCGGGGACGCCGCCAGGACCCCCGATGTGGACGGCGTCCAGAGCTCGCGCCGCCCGCGGCCTGGGCCTCCTCCGCTGCGGAGGGCGGGGGCCGCGTCTACGGGGCAGGGACCCGGGCGGCGTCTTGCGGTGGCCCGGCGGAGCCTGCGGCAGGCCTGGCGGGAGGCGAGGGCGGCGAAGCTCCGGGACTGCAGCAGGGTCCACCGCGCCCGACTGTGCACGCCCCGCTCTCGGGGAAGGGTCGCGACCCGAGGAAGGGCAGGGGCGAGGCGTGCAGAGAGAGTCGGGGGACCCTGTTTGGACAGCGCGTCCTCGGCGTGAATTGTGGAAACGCGCGAGCGCTCCTAGGCTTCGGGAACAGGAGCGCTGTGGGGACCTAGAGTGTCCAGAGAGGGCTTCTAGGTCAGATCGTCGCTGCAGCGGGCTGAAGGGTATTCGTGTGGCGGGGGAAAGGCCCCGAAACCTGGCACAGCAAGCTAGGAGTTCGAGTCCTGGGCAGCTACCTGGAGCTGTGAGGAAATGGGTGATTTTCCTCTCTTATTGTCACGGAAATGACAGGAAGCTCCTGCGTTCGTCCTGGTGCCTTGTATGTCGTGTGTGTGTGTGTGTGTGTGTGTGTGTGTGTGTGTGTGTGTGTGTGTGTTTGAGAGAGAGACAGACGGAAACAGACTGCATCTGTGTATGTTTGTTTTCGTCTTCCTTGGAGTAACTTATCTTCTCAGCGTCTGGTAGTTTTCTAGACTGAAACTTACTGGTCTCCTGAATGTGCACAGTGAGAAAGAAAATTCAAAGGTTCTGGAGGAATTCTAGGTTAGATGAAATTTCCAAGATTTAAGAATTTTCCCCCTCCCTACCCTGGGGCCACCGAGGTACCTACATTCCCTCCAGCCTCCTGCTAATGTGGGTGCTGAGGGCCAGTCCTCTACTCTGGAGAGCAATAAGAGTAGATCTGTCCTCACGCTCCGGCAGTTACACTCACACGCGCACATACACCTTTGCTGAAGAACTGACACAAAGCTGCTTGCTTCTGGGAACAGGAAATTTATTGAGGAACCATAAATATGAATGGATGATTTTAATCATAGCAAGACTCCCTCGACTGGTAGGCCAGAAGGGCCCCAGAAATTCATACCTAACCCCCTCACCCCATTACAGGGATAACATGTAAAAGTTTTTCTGAAAACATTTTTGTCTGTGTCTTACATAGAATAACTGTACATAAGGTATGTTTACTTGTATCCCACAGTGTTGGGGGTAGCATTTTCAGACTAGAAGGAGTTTTTCTTCTCCCATCTCACATAATTCAGTAAAACAAAATCACATGTCTATTGAGTGGAAATCAGATGGATTTGGGGTTTTTTTTTTTTTTCTGTCTTTTTTAAACTGGTACATCTGGGTGGACTCAGGCTTATGTATCTTGGCATCTAGGCTTGTCCAGCAAGAAAAGACAAACTGTTTGACTTGTTTTGGCTGTCTTTTTAGACTTGTTTCACTGTACCCTTCCTTTTTTTACATTTAAGGGTTGGTCAGGAGGAAGAAAGCAAATATTAAGAACAGTCTTTACACTTTATGGTTTGAAGTCAGGTGAGAGATAATTATGGCTTTTGAAGCTGATGACCTGAGGACCATCGTCTGATGACTTGGGAATTAGCAGTTTGGAGGTGACATGTTTGAGAGACAGAGGAATGTATATGGAAGTAAAGTTGGGGAAAGGTTATGTCAGAAAAACCTTGGGAGTATAAAAAATAAGTAGTATCTTAAAGTAATTGTGTGGCTTGTATCTCTCAGCAGGAGGGCAAAAATGAAAGCAGGCTGTAGCATCGTGGAAAAGCCAGAAGGAGGTGGAGGTGAGCAGAAGTTAATCATCTCTGATATGCCTGGAATGTCCCTGTATGGTTCCTGTTCTGTCCACTGCAGCTTTGTTCACAAATGCTGGGTTATAACTGACAGCCTCTTGATTGAGCAAATCTTGCTGAGACAGTTGTAAGCTTGTTTCCTATGGATGTGTATTTTAACTGTCTGGTCAGCACACTTTTATCCCACATTTTAGAAACTCTACCTGTTAGAGACATAATTCCAACCTTGAGAGTAAGAAGTTTTCAGCTGTATTTTCCTGAAACACTAGTTTAACTTAACCGGTTTGTTCCCTTTGGAATTTTCATACTCTCATAAAAAACAGGTGTGAGAGTTGGGAACATGGCTTGGTGGTGCAACACTTTCCTAGTGTGTGAGAGGCTCTGGGTTCAACACTCAGAACCACTGTGGGGTTGCAGGTAGAGGAATGAAATTTAGTGAGGTATGAAAGGGTAAGCAATTAGGGTACCTGGGCACTGCTGTCCAGCTCTATCAGATTGCCACAAGGATAGTTTTAACTCCTGTCCTTTTCTCTCCTGTTGTGGTTAGCCCCAGCTGATTAAGAGGGCATTTGTGGCATGTTTGCAAAGCACTCTTAAGAGTTTCTAAGCAATGGAATGTGAAGTTGAGGGCTGGTATGTATTCACCTTGCTCCTGATTACTTTGATCTTGCCCTTTTCACATTAAAGGGTATCAGTTTCCTGACTGGGCCTACAAAACAGAGTCCTCCCCAGGCTCCCGGCAGATCCAGCTGTGGCATTTCATCCTGGAGCTGCTGCAGAAGGAAGAGTTCCGCCATGTCATCGCCTGGCAGCAGGGAGAGTACGGGGAGTTTGTCATCAAGGATCCAGATGAGGTGGCCCGCCTCTGGGGCCGCAGGAAATGCAAACCACAGATGAATTATGACAAGCTTAGCCGGGCCCTCAGGTGAGGGAAAGGAATCCTCAACCTGTGGTGTTAACAGATTAGAAGGAAACTACACAGTTTGGTGAATGTCAGATTAAAAAGTATTAGATGATAAGAGACTATACTATCTGAGTGAATAACAGGTAGATATAAAGTGGGAGTTGAAAAGCTGTTGGATTCTAGTAGCACAGGCACAGAAGAAAAAGCATATCTTTGGTTACATGTAGGAGGGAATTCCAGTGTGGCTGGTACTGAGCCACAGACAGCTGACTGTGCTCTGCAGCAGGCAAGAGTGTGTGGTGAAACAGGTCTTGGAGCTCATTTACAATCCGGAAGATTCATGTAGACTTTCTTATTGGGTGTTTACTGGAATTTCTCTTACTTGGGTTCCCCTGGGAGAAGCTAGAAAAGGATGAAGCAAGCACAGGAGGAGGGCTTTCTGAACGACGCTCAGGAGCTACTCCAGAACCATATCTGGGAGCTTGGTTGTCAGTCCACGGGTTGCTTCAACATGTCTAAAGATTGATCACCATGAGTTTCCTCAGGTTCCCTTTTCCCTTCGTCTTTAAATTTCATAACCTTTTAGTTCACACGGGCTAGTAGACACTTCATGACCTGTCTCCTAGCAGAAGCCAGGCTAAAGGTTCTAGATTCATCAGATTTCCCTCCCCTTCTTCATTCTTAGTGACCCTGCATGTAAGGTCTGTGCAGTGCTTTTCTGGAGCTTCCTATAACCCTTTGAGTCTCTGAAGTTGAAGCAGGCCAATCTGGCTACTGTTTTCCAGATCAGGGTATTCTGTTGTCTCTCGGGCCACTAGAAAACAGTTCTGCATTCCTTTGTTTCTGCCTTGCACATCAGTTCTCCCCTGAGACTTGTCTGCCTCTACCTGGGCAAAACTGAAAGAAACGAGGCAGTTAATGGCATAGAGTGGAACAGGAAGGAAGTGGACTATAGAATTGAAATTGTAGAGAGGAAAAAAAAAGTGGTTAGAACTAGAGTAGGTGTTTAGGATCTTAAAGGGAAGCTATCTTGGTAGAACTCTAGCCAAAGACTTGAGCCTAGTTGAAAATTGAATGAAGGAAGTAAGCTCTCAGCCCTAACCTGGGAGCCAGACTGCAAAAAAATGGTGGTGATGTTTGCAAGTAATACTTCAAGCAAGAATTGTCGCTCTTACTGATTACCTAAGTATTCCAAAAGCTCAGTGGCTAGAAGATAAATTGACATGTGTTCCTGTTTTTACAGATACTATTATAACAAGAGGATCCTTCATAAAACAAAAGGGAAAAGGTTTACTTATAAATTTAACTTTAACAAGCTGGTGATGCCCAACTACCCATTCATCAACATTCGATCAGGTGGTAAGTTTCAAATTCCTTCGGTTGAGAGTGAAGTTTGAGTTTAAAAATAATTGTAATGGTCTGATATAGCTCAGTGGGAAAATGGTTGCCTAGCATGATTAAGACCCTGGGTTCAATCCCTAGCACACAAAAAAGGAGAGGGGAAGCTGGGGAGGAGAGGGGATGAAGTTTAAAAAACCAAATCTCAACTGGATTTGGGAGGCTGAACCAGGAGGATCGCAAATCCAAACCTGGCTTGTGCAACTTAAGGAGACCCTGTCACAAAAGAAAAAAGAGTTGGGGTTGTAGCTCAGTCTGAAGGCCCTGAGTTCAGTCTGCAGTATCACTAAAAAAAAGTAAAACATGGGCTGGTTAAGAGGATTTGGAAACATGAAAGTAATGTGATCCCTTGAATTGCCTCGGTATTGTTCCTCAAGTCTTACTGTTCATCTCATAAAGAGAATAATAGGCTGTGCAATACCAAGATAGATCTGTTTGGTTTATTTACCTGATTCCCTTTTCTTCATATTATTTACGATCTCCTATTAAACTGTTCTCTTTGGGAATGATGTTCCATAGTATTGTGTTGATTTGTAAATTCTTCAGCACTCAGTTTGAACACCCTGCCCCAGTAGCTCTTCTAGACAAGAACCTGTTTCTACAAAAACTTCCGATTTTCTGTGAAACTACCAAACTCTCCCTTATCGAGTGAATATCGTGAAAACCACAGCATCCTTGATCACAGAAGGGGAGATGGTTCACATGCTTGCAGTGAAAAGCAATGCCTTTGATCTGTACCAGCAACTCCTCAGAAAACAAGACCAGGGTTACTTAGCCTTGGCTCCTTTTGAGTTGCACCAGGGCTTCCCCTCTGGACTCTGAGTTACAGCTTTCCATCACAGCGCTTCACAGAGACTTTAGCTCTGCCTCTCTCTGGATGTACAAGGCAATCACTTAAGAGGCTTTGTTATTGTGTGGGTGGTTGTTTGTTTTTTTTTTTCTCTTTTTTAAAGATGCAAATTATTCCCTGCTGAAGAAAATAGATTGTATTTATTTTCAGACCAGTTCATCATTGCTGCCATTGTGACCTCATGTGTTAAAATAAAGAAAACTTACCATAATCCTGTAGTAATACAACTTTTCAGAGAAAAGTTTGAAGAAGGAAAAATTAGAGTGGGGGATGTGGCTAAGAGTACAATGCCAAGATCCATTGCAGATATGTAATTACTACACACAACAAGTTAGGGCAGTTTTAGGTTGACTCTGCTATCATTATAGTTCCATCTCCTCTAGCCACTCCCTCCTGTCCCTGGGGCATGCATTTGAAAAAAAAAAAGTCTTATTGGAATGCCTCTCTCTAATTACAACCTGTTTTCTTTCCTTGTGCCCCAGGGAGCGGCATTAGGAAATCAGACCTGTTCTAGCCACTGGAATTTTGTTTCCCACTCTTGCCCCTTCCCTGTATCCCTATAAATTGGGAATTTAGGTGGACACTGTAGCAACTTCGAAAAATGTATTGGTGTTCATATCTTGCTACTCCACATCCAAATATGCTTCACTGGTCCTGTTCCTCTTTGACCCATATTTTTCAAGTTAAAAAAAAAAAAAAACAACAGCCACTTGGACAACCTGAAATGGAGTGTCTGAGGAGTGGAGTAAGGTAGTGTTCCAAGGTAAGGGAGTGTAGACTGTTGCTCTGTCAAGATTCTCTCTTAAATCTGACCCTAGTGGTCTGGCACCACATGTTCTACATGAAACTCCAGATCTTAATTGAAAAGTCACAGGGAAAGCAAAACAGTGTGCATTTCTTTTAGGCGTACTATTTGCTTACATACTAAGTGCTTATGGCTCCAAAGAACTGAGTTTATAGACTCACTTGTTTATAGATAGCTTTTACTTTGTAGGCCAAGCGTTGTTTAAGGTTAAGTTTATGATGACCATTATTGAATATCTACCTAATTAGTGGTATATACTTTTGCTTAGTGGCTTGGCAAGATACCTCATTGGACCGTAGTCGGCCAGTAGGATGTACATCTTGATAATTACTTTATAAATGATAAAATTAAGGATGAGGACTACAAAGATTGATCAGGCTGGGTTGAATAGTTACCTATTGAACACTTTCTTAGGAAACATCTCTTGAGAGTTGGAATTATTGAAATCCAGCTCTTACTTAATAAATCATATATTCTACCCTCTCCATTGGTATTCATTAATTTGCTCAGCAGATAATGTGTTAAGCCCTACAGACAAAAAAGATGGGAGAGTTCTTCACCTCAAGGTACTTAGAGGTTAGAGGAGAGATAAGATATACTATGCTAAGTTTAATACAATATAAAGTGAGGTAAATGCTCAAAGAAGTAGATCTGTGTGGATTTAGATCCTATCTCCAGGGTTCATTGATATGGTGGAACTGTTTTAGTCTATTTTTTTTAAAAGAAAGGAAATACATATATGATGGTAACATGTCTAAATAATACAGAAATTGTAGCATAGCTAAATAGTACAGTAAAAGGGTGAATATTCTCTTTTCCCTTCCCTGTAGTCACACTTACTGTTAACAATTTAAGATAAAATCACTTAACATTGGATAGTGTTGAAAATACTTCTATATAGAGTAGTTATCATTGAAAACATTCTATAAAATACATTAATAACTATATTTTAATACTTACATTTGTGTATGAAACATTGGAAAGATGCAGAGGGTATAAAATGGTTCTCTCACAGTGGGTAGATGCCAGGAAGATTCATTCAGGGATTGATTTGAGACCTCTTGGTCTGTGCCTCCCTCCTCCCACCTACCTCTGCCCCCATTTTTTATTTTGGAAGACTTAAAACCTACAGAAACCTGCAGATTAAGAAAAGTGAACACCCACATATCCTCTGTGTGGGTGTGTGTAGTCACTAATAGTTAACATTGTTGCCACATTGCTTTATCTCTTTCTATTTATATATACTTTTTAAATCTTTGAGATTAAATTGCAGACTTCATGGCACTACACTCCTATGTACCTCAGCTTGTATCTCCCAGGAACAAGGACATTCTTTTCCATAACCACAGTAACCTTACCATACCCAGGAACTTTAACATTGTTCTAATAGTATTATCTAGTATATGATCTGTAGTGATACCTGCCTTTGTAAGTTTCGATTTTTGAATTAAATTATTATCTAATCAAAATGTAGTTTAACGATTGCATTCAGTTTGCTATGTCATGACACTATAAGGGCTTTTACAATATAAACTTCTATTCCTTCCAGCATTAGGATTGTTACTACCTCTTTTACAGATAAGGAAACTGAGGCATAACGAGGTAATTTGTGCAGAGGTACACATGAAAGGCCCAGGGCTGAACCTAGGCAGAAACTCTTGTCATTTCAATTTTTGCCAGTAGGTGATTGAAAACTCCAGTTTCTAACTTGCAGTAGCTACAAATAGGAGGTACCAGCTCTGAGATTCACACCCAGACTTTCCCACCTTACCACTGGGAGCTCATGGTGGTTTCAAGGTCTCCTTTCAGAGCAAAAGTATTCAAATCTTGGGGGAGAGGAGCAAACTTTTTTTGAAGCAGAATCTTAGACTTGATATCTCAATATAACATCTAAAAGTGGGACAACTCCAGTTAATCGGAGGGAAGGGGCAGAGTGCTGCCTTCCCTACAGTGCCCTCGCCTCACCTTCCTTTGCTCCGTGTAGAGGCATTTGGAAATGATGGATATCATCCTTCCTCACCGGTTCACAGTGCACTTGTATATGTCAAGACTCAGATACCTACTGCTTTAAAAAAAGAATTATTAATTTGATTTAAGCAGTTTCCTAAATTGCTTAGGAGACTAGACTTTTGCTTTCCTTCCAATTAAACTTACAAATTGTTTTGTCCTTCACCATGCATAAAAGAGGTTTTTAACTGGATGTAGTCTTAAAATAAAAAAATCAAGGAGTCAAAAGAATTAACACAATAGAATTTTAGTCACTGTAATACATTGAGAAAAGTCTTTTGGCCAGGGCCTCTTACCTCTGCTCATATCATATGCAGGGCCATCCATCTATTTTTCTCTGTTGAGGTAAAGTCATAGGGCTTTAATGTCCTGCTGAGGAGTTTTCTATAGAAGACCAGTTTGGGAAATGTCTCTCTGGCAGTGTCAGTCCCATGTACCCAGATAGCCATGTCTTGCATATCACAGCCAACTCCAGAGTCTTATCTGAGAATGACCATAATACCAAGAGCAGAAGGTGGTAGGTACCTAGGAGTAATTTCTAACCACACTGTAGCTTGTGTTGTTTTTCTTTACTGTCTTGGACACCATACTTTCACTGGCTTCATTTTTTCCTATTTCTTTTTACCTGTTTTTTCCTGCTTATCTGTGCATTAGAGTGTTTTAAAAAAAGAAAAAAAAAACCCTCTGATAGCGTCGCTGTAGACCCCAATGACTCCTCCCACATGTCCTGAGACCTCAGATTGCAAACCACTCTCGGACCTTACTTAGGACCGTTGGAGGAAGCTGAGAGCTTGTGAGCATCTCAAAACAGTGTGTTTAAAACAAAGTTAAATTTCTGTGTAGAGCTTCAAGTTTTAGCATTTGCACTTGGGACGGAGTCAGAGGTCCTCGGATTTTCTTCTAGCCTCCATAGTGCTTAAAAGCAGGATGGGGATGGAAATCATTACAGAGAATTTATAGGGGGGTATAGATTTGGAGAGTTTGAAAAATATTTGAATCTCTGTAATATATCAAAAATGATAAAAGACACCGTAAGAACTAACCTTAACAAATGTGGTCCTTATTATTACTCACCTAACTCATGTCCAAATATGTGAGATACAGGGTCTTTCGATGTTGAATGCATGCTATTTCCAGATTTGTTTTCTACATATGGCTGAAATTATGAAAATAAAGACTATTTGCAAAGCTGAAATTGAGACAAGTGATATATGCACTTTATTTAGAGTTGAGAGGAGAGAAGGCTCTTATATCCATGTATTCATTTGCCAAATATTTATTGAGCCCCTGACAAGTCATGAACTGCTGAGAACATAGTGGTGAACCATAGGAGGTTCTTGCCTTGTAAAATGCATGTTTCAGTGCACTGGTATTATAGGCAGTGAGGAACATGCTGGAGACGTGCATGTAAGATAGCCACTCAGCTGAGTAGAGAAGCTGAGCGTGAGTCACTAGGAAAATGGGGAACTGTGGGATTCGGTCCCGTTGCTGCTTGTTGCCACTCAGCATGGTGTCAGTAACAGATGATAGTGAGCAACCAGACCTCCAACACAGCTCTTGTCTTCTCCACCATCACAGGTGTGGTTCCTCAGAGTGCGCCGCCAGTGCCAACCGCGTCCTCCCGCTTCCACTTCCCACCTCTGGACACCCACTCTCCAACCAGTGATGTGCAGCCAGGGCGGTTCTCAGCCAGCTCCCTGACTGCGGCTCGCCAGGAGTCCAGCAATGGCACTGATAGGAAGGTGGAGCTTTCAGAGCTGGAGGATGGCCCCACTGCTGACTGGCGCCGGGGTGTTGATCTTATGTCCTCTCGGAATGCAATCGGAGGAGGGATTGGCCACCAGAAACGCAAGGCTGACATAATGCTTCCTCTTTTCACAAGGCCAGGGATGTACCCTGACCCACACAGTCCCTTTGCTGTTTCTCCAATCCCTGGCCGAGGAGGTGTCCTTAACGTCCCCATTTCGCCAGCCCTTTCCCTGACTCCTACAATCTTCTCCTATAGCCCTTCACCAGGACTGAGCCCTTTCACCAGCAGCAGTTGCTTCTCCTTCAACCCAGAGGAAATGAAACACTACCTTCATTCTCAAGCCTGTTCGGTGTTCAACTACCATCTGAGTCCTCGGACTTTCCCCCGTTACCCAGGGCTCATGGTTCCACCGTTACAATGCCAAATGCATCCTGAGGAGTCAACTCAGTTTTCTATCAAGCTGCAGCCTCCACCCATTGGGCGCAAGAACCGGGAAAGGGTAGAGAACAACGAGGAGCCTGCACCTGTCTCTGCACCCACCATAGCACCTGTACTGCCACGAGTTAAGGTAGAGCCCACCTCTGCCACCTCTGAGAAGGATCCCGAGAGCCTCAGGCAGTCAGCCCGAGAGAGGGAGGAGCACTGTCAAGAAGAGGGTGCAGTGCTGAGCAGGACCACAGAAGAGGGGAAAGGCCCCATCTTTGCCTGCCCCACCGCCCCGCCCGCCTGGCCCTCTGTACCCATTAGCACCCCAAGCGAAGAACCCCTAGAGGTGACTGAAGACAGTGAGGACAGGTCTGGCAAAGAGCCCAGCGCTCCTGAGAAGAAAGAAGACGCTCTGATGCCCCCCAAGCTTCGGTTGAAACGGCGCTGGAACGATGACCCTGAAGCCCGGGAGCCGCCAAGTAAGAATGGCAAGTTCCTCTGGAATGGATCAGGACCCCAGGGCCTGGCAGCAGCAGCCGCTGATGCATAGAACTGCAAGTGTGTTGGGAGCTGTCTTTATTCTCATGAAATACATACCTGTATTTATGTAGCAGATCTGGGGGGAGGGGGGAGGGAATTAGACTGGTTTGAGCATTCTGGGGCATAGACTTGTACTTTACGTTGGGGATGGGATGGGTTTCTTCTGTTGTAAATTAGGTGGGGTGTGAACACTTTTCCTGGTGAATAGGACACAGGGAGGGTATTGAACTGAAGGGGGAAGGAACCTGTTTCCTGTTTGAGGCTTACACTTCCTGACAAGGAAACTCCTAGAGGGCCCAGGTACTTTGCTCCTGTGGTAGTTCACGTTCTAGACTTTTCTTTTGTATTTATATATAAAAAGCCATTAATGAGTTTATTTTGCTCTGAGAGAGACACATAAAAGGGAAAAGGTCATGGTTAGGAGGTTGGCAGTGAGGGGTCGTTAATACTATTTTGCCTGAAATGTTTCTCTATAATTATTTCAGGGGAAGAATAAGATTGTCTCAGTCCTGCTGGAGCAGGGGGCTATTCAGATGGTCTTTTTTCTTTTCTTACTTTCTTCTTTCTTTTGCTGTTGTTTGGTGTTTTTCTTTTCCTTAAAAAAAAAAGTGTCAGGATACAAGAGCATCCTGCCAAGTAGAGTTAGGTAGGAGGACACAGGAGCTGCACCCTGGGATGCAGAGCTGAGGCGGAAAGCCTGCTGCGAGTCCCTTGGACTTTTCACCTACTTCACCTACTAAGAAGCCATGAGGAGTTATAAACTCTTGTTCAGGGAAGAAAAAAGAGGGCAGGAGGAAGTAACCCAATGCCTTTAAAAACAAATGAAAAAAGCGATCCTCATTTTTCCTTTTCCATTATGGGTTTGGGGAGCCAAACCAGAGTGTGACTGAGCAGGTTCAGCGAGAGGCGTGACAGTGTTGTTGAAGATGTCTGTCCATTGTGTCTGGTTCTCTTATCGTTTTCCTAAGTCGAGCCTTAACTATGAACATACTTCAAGATGATACGGGTCTGTCAGCGTAAACCTGTACAGGGCATGGACAACTTTTCAGATAATCCTGGAATGCAGAGACATGGTTAAACTCCAGCTGATGTTTAGTCTTTCCCTCTTGATGTTACTGGGATAGGTAGCAAAAGGACAAGATTGTGGGAGCTACAGGCAAGTGAAATGGAGAAATACAGAAGATACTGGGGGACAAGTGGATGTTTGTGGGCCCTGAAGGAAGAGGTGGGAAGAAGATATGGAAGGTGCCAAATGCCAAGAGGCCTGTGTGAGGGAAGGGGGTGGTATCCTGTTGTGGGGGTGCCATTTTTGTCATCCCCATTTGCCCAGATTGTTCCAGTCTCCTGAGTAGTTCACTATCTTGCACAAGACTCTGGTTTGCAACATTGAGGAATTGTTTGTTCATGGGAATCCCTTCCAGCAACTTCAAAGAAGTAGGAAAGTATTGATCTTAAGTGAAGCAAAAGACTAGGACTAGGGGCAGAAAGAAGCAGCAGCCACCACACTGTGTGTGTGTGTGTGCACCTCCAGGGGCCTAGCATGTGGAGACACCTAGCTGTGGCTCAGATCTGCCTGGCAGCAGTGCGGCAGGGAGAGAAGTAACTGCACATCTGTTGAGGGCAAGGGGAGGCATAAGAGTGGTGTCTAGGGCCTGGACAAATTCCTGGCTCCACCTTGGCTTAAGAGAACTCTAAGGAATGTATAGGGTTATCCTTTAATTTTAGTTTTAACTGAAGTGCATGCATGAGAGAAGGGCTCAGGAGGGTAAGAACAAGTGAGAGACACCCTGGATGGCCTGGGATGACTTGAGTCCATCATGCTGTGTCTTGGCAGGTGTCCTCCCCTTTGTTTGATCCAAATTCCATGAGTGACTCATCATTCCCCAGGAAAGGGACTAAGACAGTGGTCCCTAAAGACTCAGGCTTGGGTCAGGCTGCAAAGGGCTCCCCAGGTAGGCTGCCTTTGGTGGCCTGTGGTTCTGTCAGTTTCCTTTTTTGCCCCGACTTACCTCTGAATAGGAAAGCAAGCCTGGCAGGTGGAGGAGGGCTCTCTGCTTGGCATTGCCTGATCTAACCAGGGAGACCAGCTGGCCACCCACTGCCCTCTTCAGGGTAGGGCCAGCAGGTGTCGGTATGAACTCAGGAATTGAAACACGAGGCCTTTAAAATAAGAGAGGGAGAGAAATTCATGATGCATACCTGTAACCCCCTAAAACACAAGTGCCAGAATAAATTCCTAGATGCTGCTTCTGTTTGAACAAAAAAGTCACTGCTTTTACACTTGAAAAAACACTCGAAAAATGTTCAACTCCATGAAAAATGTTTTTTGGCTTTAAGAAATTGTTTGGTTTGTAACTTTCCTTTGCTATTCCACCAGTAATTGTCAGTTGATTTGCACTGGAGTAGGGTTGGGAGGAGGGTCTTCACACAAGCCACACTTGGGCTTGCTCAGGAAGTGGACCAGAGCATGTGGAGATCCTTGATACTTCCTGGGGCAAAAGAGAGTTTTTCTTCCCCAACCCACTCCTAGCAGTGCCTGTCACCTGGTGCAAAACCAGGTCTTTCTCTTCCATGAGCATCTCATCACTGTCCAGCAGCAGGTGGAAAAGGGGGGCAAAAAGTGGACCTACTTTGTCTCCCACACATTTTCCGAATTTTGCTGTGCCAAATGTTTAAAACTTTACAAATACAAACCTATTGAAATTTCATTAATCAAGAACTTGTTCATGAAAAATGTTTGCTTTTTTAGCTATAGAAAAAACAGCAGAGATCTCTTAATGGCATCCAGCCTTGCTGAGCTCACCTTTTCTCCTAAAGGATGGGTAGGAGCAAATACAGTTCACCAAGTTCCTTCACCCTGGTTGTCAGACTGTACTGCATTAAATCCAGCTCACTACTTCAGGGAAGGACTGCACCCTAGTGACCCATGGGCCAAGAAACCTTCAGAAGCATTAAAAACACCACTTCTCACCAAGTGGTTCGAGTCAGTTGGCTGTTTGTCCCTTGTTTATTTATTCCATAATTATGTTTGTGTTTTTTGTTTTGTAAGCAGTAATGGAACATAGTTTTATGTGGTTGGAAAGAAAACTTTGATTTAGTCTTTTAAGATTGTTCCATTTTTAGTTTCTTGAGGCGGGGAGTTAGCAGTTAATTTGTTTTTAAATATTTAGGCATTCACTGATTTATAAAATTGTGATGCAGGGATTTCCGAGTGAGACATTCACATGTGAAAGATGACTTTGTTAGTTATCCGCTTAAGCAAAATAGTGTGTATATGTACATAAAATGTAAGTAATCTTAACTCCATTGTGCAGTGCCTTTTAGATGTTCCGCTTTCTATAAAGTCTTCAAAATTTTGCATATATATTATATATATGATGTAATGTTATAGAAGTATATGTATAATATACATATTTTTTCCAGGGGTATCTGATAGCTCTGTATTTTGTTATGGAAGTTGAAAGAAAAAAGTATTTTACCTCAGAAATTAAAGTTAAATAAAAAAGAAAAAAGTACTTTTAAGTAAGGTTTGCTGAGTGTTGGTTCTGTTCATCATATCCTGTGCCCGGTGATCATGCCATAGCTGTGCCAGATCCACATCGGCTGCCTCACCGCAGTGATTCACCCTGCTGAACGCTTCCCATGGTGAGAAGTAGGTCTCCAGCCCTCCAGTGCATGACTGCTGCCAGAGAAAGGAAACGAGCCAGACGTGCAAGTCAGGAGATTTCTTTCTCAGAATTGTAAGGACTCATCGAGTAGAAGGTAAAGCCGAGCACAGAAGACCACGTACGGCATGATTGTGTTTGTGTGAAAAGTCTAGCACAGCCAGGTCCTGGGGACCAAGCAGGCCCCATTAGTGTTGTCAGTGTGGGTGGGGAATGCCTACGAATGGGTCATTGTTAGGGTTGATGAAAATGCTCTGGGCTTAGGTAGTAATAATAGTACAGTTTGTAACAGAAACCACTGAATTTCAGTCAACGAAAGAGTGAGCATTACAGTGAATTATATCTCAAATGATTTTTTGAGGTTGGGTGTTCTTGGTTTTGTTTCCCAGTAGAAAACAAGAATCCTGGGGCTGGGGATTTAGCTCAGCGGCACAGCGCCTGCCTGGCAAGCGCAAGGTCGTGAGTTCGATTCCTGCTACTGTAAAAAAAAAAAACAAGAATCCAGAGGAAGGAGGTAAATCTCCCCACCCTCACAGTACTGGGGATTGAGCCCAGGGCCTTTGCACTGAGGTACATCCCTAGCCCCTTTTTATGTTTTATTTGAGACAGGGTCTAAGTCACTAAGTACAAGTTTAAGGTGGACTCAAGCTTGCAGTCCTGTTGGGAATCTGGATAGTGAGTGTCATATCATGCACTTAAAGGAAGACGCTACCAGACAACCATCTCTGCCTACCTATGGGAGACCCACCAAGTGGTCTGAGTGTCCCGACATGCCAGTGTTAGTCGTTCCAGAAGGGTACAGTTAAGTGCCAAGGGAAGTGGATGAAGAGGAAAACGTATTAAGAAGGATCTTAGGAGAAGCCTAAAGAGTTTGCATTTTATTCTGCTAGCAGTGGCTGTTTGGGCCAACCCAGTGTGGAACGTGGAAGGCCAGAGCGCTGAAAAGCTATCCTGTCCAGTACCCACTCAAGGGGACTCAGCCTGTGGGCAGGAAAAGTAAGGTGACAGGCACACTGGTGGGTTGGTCAGGAGGAAAAGATGGGCTCACATGAACCCCTCCTGTGGGAGAGCCTCCTGCTTTGCCCTCTCACTTGGGAAGGCAAAGTGGGAGGAGCTTGGACCTCTTGAGATCGGAATCCCAGGCAGCAGGCTCTTCCAGACAAAGCTGAATGCTTAGAATTGGAATATAAGCATTCAAAATCTGAACAAAGCGGAGGAAGTGATGGTGAACATGGGGGGAAGAAGTGAGAAAAGAGACTAGGGAAGGTCTCTGATCCTTCATGGTGAGTGGGCAATAGAGCCTTCAGTGGCTCCCTAGTATTCCCCTGAAGTCTTTACGCCTTGTTCTCCCCTAAAGATACATGCGCACTCTCCCACCCTACCCAGCACCTGAACTGCAACCCTAACTGCAGTGTGTCAAGCAGCTGCTGTGGACTACTCAGTCCTGGTGACTGCCCTGAGGTCGGTGCTGCTCATCCCCATTCTGCTGAGCGGTCCACTGAGTCTCACAGAAATTAACTGACATGACCAGGGTAAAGCCCAGCATTCTGCTCCCAGGCCACTCTGCCTTGTGGAACCCTGGTCCTTTCTGTCCTCTGGCTAAACACCCTTCTTCCCTCTGCTTCCCTTGGCCAACAATAACTTCTTCAGAGTTCAACCTAGATGTCACTGGCTCCAAAACCCTTTCCCGGCAGCACAGGCCACTCCTCTGTGTCCTGTTGCAGCCCCGTTTGCCTCTCACAGCCTTATCTACATGGCGCTGCCACTGCTCCCTAGTCTGGCTTCTCAGAGGACAGTCAAGAAGCCAAGGGCCAGTGTGGAGTTCACCTCACCTCCCTTTATTCCAATGCCTAGGATGTTGACCAGGGCCTACAAAAGTGTTTGTTGAATACATAACAGGAAACATGACAGCCATTTGGACCCTGAAATGAAAAGATGCAGGTTTGGAACATGAGAGAGTGGCCTGCAGTGTGCACTGTCTGGGGTCCAGTTTCCCTGCCCCAGGGAAGGGTCCCTGGCAGAGGAGCTGAACCTCTCTGTCCCTGCTGCAGCGCATCCTTCTCCCACACTCTGGCCCATCCTGCAGTCACTTCTGTCTTCTCTTTAGCCCTCTCCTTACCCAGTCTGCAACTGTACTCCCCCTCCTCCAAAGCTCCCTTCCCTCGGGACCTCAGGACACATTCACAGTTTCCATTTACTCAAATGTGTTGTGGGCAAGAAAAAGAGGAACTGAAGCCATAGAGAACCTACCCCTGAGGGTGTTTCTGCCTCCCACTTTTCATGAGGCCTGGAATCCTATCCGGGCTGTCCTCTCCTTGTATTCTTTCTAGGATTCAAACTCATTCGTGCTTCTTGACCTGCAAAAAATAAAGGAGCAAGAACCCAATAGGAACCCCAGTCCTAGCCCCCTTGAGAGCTGGAACAACTCCCTGAGGAAGAGAGGGAGACACACTGGATGGGGCTCTTGTCACAGTCCCAGCCCTGCCACTTTGCCGGCTGTGAAACAATGGGCAGCTTACAGAACCTCTGTGCTTCAGTTCCCAGTGTACACGGCTGCAAGGATTCAGCGATGCGCACAAAGCATTTAGTGGTCACAGTCACTCCTACTGACTCAGACGCCCTTGTGAATTTGTACCCTGTCACCACTGCTGCCCTTGGAGGCTTTGTGTCTTCCCATCCACTTCTTCCCTCTGGCTCAGGGGAGGTACATATTGTGAAGGAAAGAGAAGCCCATGGTAGGTCTGAATTTATCCCAGCCATTCACCCAAGAGTGAGGTGTGCAGAATGGGAGCCGGGGGAGGCCAGCCCTCAGTCTTAAGCTTTGAGACTTTGACAAGAGCCAGGAAGCGGGGTGGTCCGACAGGCTGTAGAGGCTGGGCCTACCAGAAGAAAGAGCAAAGATCAAAGCATTCCCAGAAAGCAGATGAGCCTCCCTCAGGCAGCCGCCACGGGCCCAGACTGACGAGGGTGCAGGCAGAACGGGGAGGGAAACCCCACCCCTGCTGGCTCCAGCAACTCTAGGATCTGGGGACCAGATTAAGCAGACAATGGGGAGGGAACCCAGACCTTGGGAAGTGAAGGTTTGGGGCTGAGCCACAGCAGAAGGCCTCTGTCCCTTGTCTCAGTCCTGTCAGGTGGCTTCAGGCCCAAGCCTTAAAGCCTGGGCCCCAGAGAGAAAGGGCAGTGAAGCTGGAAACCAGCGGCCTCTGACCTGGAGTCCTGCCAGGCCTCAGGAGAGTGGGGAGGATGGGAAGACTCCTGTCTGCAGGGACAGAGGTCAGCCTCGAACAGATTTGCCTGCAGGGGCGGGACCCTTTGTTCCAGTGTGTCATTAAGACAGTCTTCTGCTTTATTCCCAGGATTCATCCGAGAGACACATAAACAGGTGTAGGGATGGGCGGGTCATAATCTGGTGAGTGCTTGAGACTGGAATGTCTCTTTGTATCACTTCTGTCTCCTCAGTAACCAATTCAGTGAGAAAGGGAAGGGGAAACTGAGGTACACAGGTATAGGTCTGCCTTCAGAACAGGGTACATCTAGGTTTGTTTTCATCGCCCCACTCATGGCCCAGCTGAAAGAAATCTTGTTCTGCTTCTCTGCTGACCCAGCCCTTCTACTCCCGTGTCAGAAATGAGGAGGAACATTTCGGTGTTCTTTTCACATAACTGTCATTGGTTTCCTTGATCCACAAAGTTGTCTTCTGCAGAGGGTGCTACTATTGTCCTCATTTTGCAGATGAAGTTCCACGGAGTGAAGCAAATTGCCCAAGGCTGACACCTTCAGCAGCCTAACCAGGACTCAGTGTTGTTCCTCAAAATGCCCCTGCCTCTCAGAGGGGATACATGTGCCTGGAAAAGGCAGAAAAGATGGGCGGCAGAGCTGCTTTAAAGAGGTCCCAAATTTGACAGAGAAAGCTCACAAGAGCAGTCGGGTCTGAGCCCCTCCTTGGAGGACCTCTGGGCCAGGGAGGGAGAGTCACACTTTCAGTCAGCAGTGAGGCAGAGGCAGGCAGATGCCCCCTGGATGTTGGCCCGTGTTGAATGAGGTAGGAGTCCCTTGCTCTTCAGTTTGGTGAGGGAACAAATCAACAAATGAACTGAAATCCATGCGACAGTAGTCATTCATTTATTCAACCAGGTGCAGCCCTGTAATACAAAGGTAACTAAGCACAGCCCTACCCGCCAGACACTGCCAGTCTAGCAGTGACGAAGATGGGCCGATCAGGAGGCCCTGACTCCTCCCCCAGTGCTCTTCCCACAGCACAGCTCTGCAACCTGTCTTCTGACCCTCAGAAAGCTGTGGCTTTTCTGCTTGCCTTCGAACTTCCAGTGCTAACTTAGACCTATAAGAGCTCAGGTAGGGGCTGGGAATATAGCTCAGCAGCACAGTGCCTGCCTGGCAAACATGAGGTCATGAGTTCGATTCCCGGTACCAAAAAAAAAAAAAAAGAGCTCAGATGTTCCCAGATTCCTGGGGATATTCTCCTTCCCCTTCTCCTCTTCTGGAAAATTCCAAGCATCACCCCCCCCACTACATATAGGCTGCCCCCAGGCTGACAAGTGCCCTTCACCGGCACCCAACCCTGGTGGCACCATACAGCCATCTGTGCATCAGCAGGAACCAGGGGCCTCCTCCCAGCCCCCTGTCCTCCCAGGCAGCTCAGCCAGGGCTAGCATGGGTCTGTGTCCATGTCAGAGTGAGGGCTGCAACACTGAGTATGGAGAAAAGCGGGAGAGGCAGCTCCCCTTCCAGCAGGCCCTGTAACCTTCTGTCCCTCAGAGCTGGTGCTGTAACCCCAGGCACCCACCCGGGTGGAGGACCATCCATGAGGGAGAGGGAGGGGAGAGAGGAGCACAG